TTTAAAGAAGAAAATTTCAAATGGCATTTAGAGGCTTTTGCATCTGAACTCTTCAAATATTTAACACTTTATTTATGACGTTTGAAGAAGCGCAGTGCGTCATGGCGTAGTGTAAATATCAGAGCAGTACGTCGCATTATTCACATAAGTTGCACTTGGATCATTCCACCTCTGGAAAGATGAATGTTTATTTATAATGGGTCATTTATGTAGAAGAAATGTGGAATTATTGTTGAATTTGGAGCTTTCTAGACTGAGAAAAGCCAGAAAATGTATTTTTGGCTTATGTGGATGAAAGACAACAACTCCCAGAACGCACTTGCTTCGCTGCCCTAGGAGACCACGCCTACCGGTAACAGAGCGCGGTAGTTAAACAACAAGTCTAGGCTACTAGTGAGTCTCGTGATGAGTCTGCCCGAAAATGTTTCGAGATCGCCCAAAATGTCCAGGATTGGGCTTTTGCGTTCGACAGTCGCCGTTCATCATGTTTCCTGTGGCGTGGATTTCTAACAATGAAAAACTAAATGCAAATGGGTGGAGTGTCCCTTTAAGTGGAATCCGTATGTTAATTTGGCCGGAAGCTAGTTATTTTACTAGTTATTTATTTATCGCTTTACTTCAGAAGACCTTTATTAACCCCCCAGAGCCGTGTGGAGCACTTTTATCATGGATAGATGCACTTTTTTGGTTGCAATTCACTGCCATTATATAGCTCTGAAGCGTCGGGGTGTTTATTAAGTAACTCCGATTGTATTTTCTGAATGAAGAAAGTCATATACACCTAGGATGGCTTGAGGGTGACTAAATCATGGGCAGTGTTGGGTAAGTTACTCTAAAAAAGTAATTAATTACTAGTTACTAATTACCTCTTCAACTAGTGTAATTCGATTACTGTACTAATTACTCTCTTTAAAAAGTATTTAATTACTTTTAATTACTTTCAAAATCCCATATCAATCTCAACCAGCTGAATGATACAAGGATAGATCAACACTATCTCACGACCAATTCGTACAAATTCGACGCATGATTAAAAAGTGGCTAATTCGTACGACCTCACTCGTACTAATTCGTACGATTTGTCTAAACCCACGTGATGGTTAGGTTTAGGGGGGGGTAAGGGGTAGGTCATTCGTACGAATTCATACGAATTGGCCAATTCGTAAAATATGTACGATTTAGCAAAATCGTATTAATTCGTACGAGTGAGGTCGTATGAATTGTTACGAATTAGCCACTTTTTAATCATTCGTCGAATTCGTACGACTTGGTCGTGAGATCGGGTTGGATAGATATGAATCTGTTTTAATTCTTTCAAATAAATACTATAAAATTGCATGAATTATCCTTAAACTGACCAAGGTGGAGAAGGTTACCTTATAAAAACATACTTTTTAACATCAGACAATACATTTTGATGTTAAACCCACTATTGTTTTATATCTGATCTCATGACATTTCACACTTTTTTCATACATATTTTACAATAATTCATACGAATTTGTACGAGTGCGGTCGTAATATTTAGGCACCTCATAAAATGCATACGAATCGCTGTGAGATCGGATTGATCCATACACAGTATTTACCTCGATTACATCAGAAGTAACTGTAATTAAAGTACAGATAAATGAAGAGTAATCCCTTACTTTACATTTTCAATGGAAAAGTAATTAAATTACAGTAACTAATTACTTAGTATTTAGTTACACCCAACACTGATCATGGGGTAATTCTCATTTTAAAGTGAACTAGTCCTTTAAAGAAAAGTATTTCTAATAGTTTTAGTTAACAGTAACAACATGTAGTAACTCAAGAATGGTTGTGGCAACATTGTTTAGGCTACTATAAATTGGATTAAAAATGCAAAATAAGGATTTTTTTACAATTTACGCCATGTATCTGTAAACCTAGAGAGGTTATGTGCAGCAATGCGCACTATGCCAGTGTTTCATTTTAATCATACACTCTTTCTCCAATCCACGGTTGTGTAACTCTGCTCTCTCCCTCACCTGACTGACAGGTTCACTTCTTGTCCTACTATCCACTCTGGCTTTGTACTTTCGCCAGCATCCCCCCAGCATCCTTGAATTGTGTTCTTCGCACTGCGGAACCGAATGGAAATCATTGAATCCGAGGAAGTTTCAATGCATCACAACTATCTCCTCGCGCGCTCGCTCGGTTCATCTGCATTCCAGCTGTACGTCAATCGCCCCTCCACTTCCATTTATTCTAACGTTCGAGATAAAGTGCTGCCAGCAGGACAGTATTTGTAAAATATCATTTTGTATTCTCTCTTTGTCTCTTTCTCGCCCTCTGTGAGCGGGAAGTTTCCCCTCAGCATACGTGTGCATGCTCATCAATGGGGGAATGGGTTTTAGCTCCCACATTATAGCATTGGTCATATTAAAAAGCTAGATTTTTTGTCAGCTTTGAGAAAATCTTATACATGCATACCTAGCCTATGTCATTTGTCCTTTAAGCCGGTCCAGTATAGTGCACATTGCAACACAACTAAATATATGTTTGCTTTTTAAATTTGGTTGTGCTGTGCATACTAGGCCATCGTAGTCTTTAATGGTAAAAGCAGAATTGTAGTGTGTCATGGTTTCCATAAAAAATATTAAGCAGCAAAATTAATATTATTATTAATGATAGTAATTAATGCTTGTTGAGCAGCAAATCATCATGTTAGAGTAATTTCTGAAGGATCATGTGAGTAATGATGCTGAAAATTCAGCTTTGATCACAGGACTAAATTACATTTAAATTAATAATATTTCACAATAATGCTGTTATTGATGGTTTAACTTACAAAAGTAAGTAACCTGGTTGCCTTAAATTTTTTAAGTTGATTGAACTGGAAAAAGTGAGTTAATACAATGAAGGAGATTAATTTAACCATCAGAAACTCAAAATTATATGTTATCTGAACTAAATAAATTATTTAAGTTGATTTGACAAAAGAAAAAATGTTGTGATTACTACACTGTAAATAAAATATTGTTGGTTTAACTTAAAAAAGTAAGTAACCTGGGTTGCCTTAAAATTTTAAGTTGATTGAACTGGCAAAAGTAGATTAATTTAACCATCAGAAACTCAAAATAATAAGTTATCTCAACTAAATAAATTATTATAAAGTTGATTTGACAAAAGAAAATGTGTTGTGATGACAAATCTTGAAAATATTTTTTACAGTGTATGGTATTGCAACGTGTTCTCATCCTAGGGCGTCATATAGGTGATGCTTTTGGCATTGCGTCTAAATCCAACGCACATGGCACCCTTTAGCGTCAATATAACACGCTTTGGTTATGGTGGGTTTGGGATAGGGTTAGGGTTAGACCACTAGGAGGCGCCTTCTGGCCCATATATATTGACGCTAAAGGGTGCCATGTGCGTCGGATTTAAACGTGATGTCACCTAAATAACCCCTTGGGATGAGACCGGGCTGGGTATTTCTGATCAAATACCATAAAAAAATAAAAAATCTTAATGATTCCAAACTTTTGAATGTCAAAGTATACGTATAATGTTTTTTATTAAGACTCAAGGGAATTTATCAATAGCTTTTGCTTCATTATCAGTGAATAACAATTTTGTATGGCTTCAGAACATAGTGCACCAATTGTGACAGGTCCAGTCCTGATTGACTTTGATTTGATGTAAAAAGCAGCCTGTGAAACCCATTTTGTAGTCCACAGCGGGAGAAAAATTTTTCATGTGACAAGAGGGTGAATAGATGACAAAATGTTCATTTTTTGGGTGCCCTATTTTAGCATTTTAGCCAATTGTTGTACTGTGATGTGTTGCAGAGTTTTGTGCACTGTAACACATGCACAGCTTGTGAAAGCAGGAGTTAAAGCGGCTCATGTTTAGATACATGCTGACTGACGCCCCCTGCTGGCAAATAACGATCACTCTCTTCATTAAAACACACCTCAAATCACCGTTCAGATTCATTTTTTATGGCAGCTTTTGAAAATTGTTTCAAAGCAGCTTCACAATTAATCATGCTAGCTCAGCTCAGTTCAGTGATGATTAAGTTCAAAAATAGTGTAAAGTTCATTCATCATGAAACAAGTTCAAGCCACTCTACAGAAGTGGCTCTTATCGTAAATATTTTTGTTGACAAATTCGCAATTGTTATAGGCTATGTTAAATAATTGTGGATGTGTTCATTGTGATTATACTGGCTGGGTTTTTAAAAGTTTATAAAATTGACGGGATATCTTTGCTTGGGGAATTATGTAAACAAAGCTTGTCTATTTCCGAATGTAATCGCGTGCATCTCTGATGATATGTTGGAAAAAAAAGAGAAAGATTAAACACACTCGCAACAGACACACCCCAAAGCGGAGACGTAATAGCGTTGCTAGCGGCACTGCCTTGAGATACAAGGATTTCTACTCTCAAAATCGAGGACCAGCCATGGCTTATTATTGTTTTGCTCCAAAGCCATTAGGGTTTAGGCTATAACCGATTCTTGACTCTTGATTCCACTATAAGGTTTAGGAAATGACATTTAAATTACTTAAATATAGTAATATAGGCTATGTAAAATATATTTAATTATTTTATGCAGGTAAAAATTTTTAACATTTCTTTGATTGATGCACATTTGAGACATGCATAAACTAAAAAATAATTTGGCAATAAAACTGACTTGGCAATGATTAGGTTTTACAAAAGATATTTAATTCATGGTATGAACAATTTAGCAGATTGTTTTTTTAAAGGCAATACAAAATCTAAACATTTAGATTGTGAATGTTAATTCGCTATTTTGCTATTTTGTGAATAGCAAATTTATTGCTAAAACACATTACAAAGACTGTGAACTGATTTTTTGGGCGGGGCTAAAACGGTGGCTCGTTGACACACTGGAGCCACTGAGCCCCTAACAATATGAGTTTGCCGCAGTTATAACCTTTCTTTTACTGTGGTTATGATGATTAGAACAATTATTTAGCATGGAGTTACAATCTCCTGTACAATAGGTGGCGGTATGCACATAAAAGTTGGTTGCAATCCCCCAATAATCAAGAGAAGAAGAAGATTGCCGAAGCTACTACAGCCTACAGTTTGCTAGCTAGCAAAGTCATCGACTACCGTCGTTTAAGTAAGTATATGTTTCCTTTTTCTGTAACGAAATATTATGTTTACATTGTTTTTAGTTTATCTTTTTAAAATATCTAAGTTTGTCATCTTTGTTCTTGAGGTAGTCCTGTTGCTAGAGTGGCTAACGTTAGCAAGGGTTAGCTAACACGTGCTGTTTTGCCTTTGTTAGGACACACTGAGGTTAAGCAATGTTGCTGGTAACGTTACATGTAACGCTAACGCATAACGTTACACAAACGTTACGCATAACGTTAGTGTGACGTTGCATTTCAGATTTGATCAAAATGTTGAAGTTGCTGTGAGTAAATGCACCTGAGACGATTAAATGTGATCTTCATATATCAAACAAATTGAAATCTTCTACAGTAAAAATCAACATAACCCAATCTGAATAATGCTAGCTCTCAATGACACGTCAGTATTGTAGATGTAGTTTCATTACAGGTACTGCAGAATGAAGGCCGTTTAAACTATTTTCAACCGACGGGTGATTTTTCAACCTCACTTTAATATAGTTCCACTTCACAGATGGTCATTGAATAACTCTGAAAGATGAAAATGCACACAAATGCATGGGAAAATACACATTCAGCGATAAATATATAAAGACTCGCATTTCCTCACTTTTTGATTTGGTTAATGCATGCGCATCATGTATTTCCCTGTGCATTTTCAGAGACCTGAATAGTATGTCATAATCAATTCTTCTGAAAGCACAGCAACATTATAGATTTGTTTTACACAAGCTGCAAAATGCATTATTAAGTCGTGACTCGTGTTTCAGCAAAGACAAGAAATATGCCAGGTAGGCGAAAACAATTCTGACTCATGAAGCCAAACGAGTGGCATCCAAAGCGACGGTCTCGGTCCAAGACTGATATAATAATATGCTAATAGAACTGTAGCTGTCAAAGACGTTCAGAGATGCGGACGTAACAGTGCTATTCAGTGTTGGAAAATTGCTTAGAAACAGTTTCCAAAGCTGCTCATGTAGTGGTTCGACTATTAAGTCTAAGCGCTAACAAAAAAATAGTTAACCCTATTGATGCTATTTTTTTATATATAAACGATCAACTTTATAAATAACTATCCTGTTACTTTTGATCAATTAAATGGAGCTGAATAAAAAGTATTACTATTTGAACAGTAGTGTAGCTTTTGACTGGAAACCAGCTGAAGTAATTTTATGCTAAATGAATATGTAGCTAGTTACTATGGAAGCTTGTTTCCGCCACTGAATAAAAAAAAAAATAAAAAAAAATAATTGCGACTTTTTATCTCACAATTGCGAGATATGAAGTCAGAATTGTGAAATATAAAGTCAGAATTGCATAATATAAAGTCGCAATTCTGAGAAAAAAAAAAACAGAAGTACGACTTTTTATACAACAATTCTGACTTTTTGTCTCGCAATTGTGAGTTTACATCTTGCAATTCTGACTTTATAACACGTAAATGCGAGTTTATATGTCGAAATTCTGACATCTTTACTCAGAATTGTGAAATATAAACTCGCAATTGCGATTCAGGCCAATTTTAGGGGGAAAAAAGACTAACTTTTTTAACTAACTACATTCAGAATAGTTTAAATCTCACAATTCTTCTGACTTTATAACACGCAATTGTGACTATCACGCAATTCTGACTTTATATCTAGCAATTCTTACTTTATATCTCGTAATTCTGACTTTATAACACGCAATTGTGACTATATCACGCAATTCTGACTTTTTTTCTCTCAATTGCAAGTTTACATCTCGCAATTGTGAGAAAAAAAGTCTGAATTGTGAGATAAAAAGTCGCAATTACCATTTTAATTTTTCATTCTGTGGCGGAAACAAGCTTCCATAAGTTACTGTTGGTTCTGTTGAAGGAGAAAGAACAGTAAAAAAAAATTGTGTTCACACTTGGCATGTTTGGTTGGATTAAAACGAACTGTGGTGCGATTGCTCCATCAGTGCGTTTCATTTAAATAAGTGTGAACGCTGCCACCCGAACCCTCCTGCCACTAAACAAGCGGGCCGAGACCGTTGAAAAGATGGGTCTCGGTCCGCTTCCAAACGAACTGGTGCAGTTAGTATTATATATGAACGCAACACGGACCAAAGTCGTGTAAACGAACCAAAATCAGGCAGATGAACGAACCCTAAAAAGGACAGGATGCTGAAGCTGAAGCAAACATTTTTTCCCTCTCGTCAGAATTGCCATTACCCTTTAGTGGACTATCGAAATAAAGTGTAACCGAGCAAACATGCTGGGGGACATGAGCTGCCAATGATCAACAATGTAAAGGCATTTTCTCATGACTCACGTCAGGGCATCAGTGAGCCTCTTGCGCTGCTTTGACCTCCACATGAAAAACGTTGTCACAGACCGCTGATTTTACGAGGCTGATATCTTGCAAGAAAGCGGGAAGTGTATATGGTTGATTTTGAAAATAGTGAATGCTGACTTGTGGTACATAAATATAGAGACAGGTGTACGGTAAAGTATCCTTGATATGTACACTTTATAATCGTACATGTGCAGGAACTCTATTGCATTGCATCCTCTGTAGTTTGTTGCTACGAGACATCTTTGAAAACTGAATCTATGCCAAACGAATGGTATGTTTAAAGGCCACAACACACTGCAGAAGTGAATTTTCTGGAAATCAGGCCATCCTTAAAAATATTTTGGTTTGCAGTAACAGCAATTTAAAAAAAAAAAAAAAAAAAGGGTTGGTAGGTAGGTATATATATATATTTTTTTTTCAAGATTCAGTGTAAAAAAAAAAGTACAATTTTGGTCATGGTGATCGTGAATTAAAAAAAAAAATGCATATAATGCATATTGTGACGTCACTGACTGGGTCTTCAAACTGTGCATCCATCGCTAGGTGTTAATGCAACCTACAACCGGTTACATTTTAGGCCAGTCACAAAATGTTTAAAATATTTGTTATGCATATATACATGAGATAAGCAAAAACAAGTACAAAACACATGGTCAAACAAGGAATACAATTAAACAAAGATACAAATTAGCCTACACAGTGCTTTAATTTCAGGATGGTCTAAAATTAGCTACTTTTCAGTTAAGTCTGTCGCTCTGTCTGAAAAGAAATTTAATTTAGTAATCAAATGTAAAATGACACTGCATAGTTTATCATAGTTAGATTAATGCTTATTAAAGTTTAAGTTATTCATTCAAGAGCTGTGAGTGATTTTTATCTGCCTTTTGTTGTTTGATTCGCATTACTGGCTCAATCGTCACATGTTTATTAGACTACTGCCCCTTTAAGACCAAATGCAGAACTCTACTGTGATAGATGATTGATGCACCATCATTTTCTCCCAACTATTTACGTCCAATTAAGACATAAACTGTGTTTAAATGAATCTCAGAGCAGGTCATTTTTGTATTTTATGTATATTTGATAGTTTAGATGCGCACATGAAGCCCAAAATGAGGCGATAGCATACTTTTCTTGTCTCGTTTTAGTGCATTTCGGAGCGCGCATCGCCTTGTGTCTCTTGCGCAGACTTTTGTGCTTTTAATAGCTCTTTTAATGATTGAACGCGTCCTCAGTTTAGCAACAGTACAGACTGCATTAGGAAGAAATGACAGCGCAACGCTGTGCAGGGAAGGAAGTTCACAATACTAACTAAAATATAATTTTAATATTATTTTATTGAATTTGAATTAGTCGTTTGAAGAGTAAAAAAAAATAAAATCGGTCGGTCTGAACGCAAGTTACAACCGGCAAGTCGGTCGGACTAAAAAGAAAAAAAAATAAATAATTGGGTCGGCCCTAAATTGACAGGGTCGGTCGGGTTACGGCAAACAAGAATATTTTTTAAGGGTGGCCTCATTTGGGTCATCAAGTTGACGCAAATCTTTAACAATTGTAAATGCGCTACTTTGTGTTATACAGCTGAGGGAGTGAAAGCGATTTTGACATCATTCTCTCTTCTGACTATTCCCTCTGTTGGAAAGTCATAGAAATGCTGTTGGACCATGTTTGGGTGTTGTGTTGTGCTATTTACTGTTTTTAAAAGAAAGTCATATGCAAGTTTTCAATAAGCATGCCCAGATAACCCTTGTGACAACAGTGGATCAACTATAAATTTATCAAGCGACGGGAATACTTTTTGTGCGACAAAACTAACAAAAACAATAGGGCTGGGTAATAAATATCGATTTCTCGATATTAATCGATTCTCATTTTTACGAACCGATATCGATTCTTGAATCGATTAGTCAGCCTGTTTCATTTGAATGAATGGATCATTGTATCGCGGCTGCGCACATCCGAAAAATCGCAATAATCTTTGTCCTTTGTTACTATTGATATGAAACAAAGTCTCAATTTTCAAATTACGTCCATTTTCTTTATAAATTCAAAAACGTAAATAACGTTTTGGCGCTGTGGCGTGAGATCGCTCTGGCACTGCTCAATGTCATGTATCGTCATATTTACCTCAGAAAACCCACATGAACTCGTTAGTCAGCTACAAAAAATAACACTACAGAGAAGCATTTTGCTAAATCTATACACCATATTACATATGCATTATAATCTTAATGTTCTTCAATATTTAATGCATATTTGAATAAATCTGGCAAGTTTTTATGACAGCCACCATTTAAATGTTTATATTTCATATAATCTTCTTATTATAAAAATAAATGAAAGTGTAATTTAAGTTTTTGTATAGCTAAAACAGTTAATTATTACCTTCATATTAGGCTAATGAAGCCTAGTAGGCTACAACTAGACTCCCATAGCTTACAGCATTAGTTGATTTCCTTGAAAAAATGTGTCATTTATTGTAACCGATATCCAAAATAATCAATATTGAATCGGAATCGAATCGAATTGGAAGCTTGTGAATCGAAATCGAATCGAATTGTGAAATTTGTGTCAATACCCAGCCCTAAAAAATAACGACTTAATTTGACTACTCCTTTTCTTCCTTGTAGACCTGAGACGAGAGTTCAAGAGATTTCCACGATGCA